GAAGGTTTTGGTCCCAGTTCCTTAACAGCTGTAAACTGACCTATTTGCATGAATTTTAGAGACTGAGGGCAAACGTACGTTGCATTTAAATAAATTAATTTTAAAAAGTGCATGTGTGTAGAAACACCGCAAGAGAATGACAGGGATTTTTAGCTTACTAAAATTTAGCTTAAAATATTTTAAAAATAAGTGTTATTTTCTTCCTAGTTCTTCTCTGAATGTAACACATTGACAATTGTTTTGTGAATCAGACATGTTTGCCCTGCTCCAGCTATATCAGTATCATTGGCTCAAGACATACATTAAAATTAGAGCATGTGAGAAATATAAATTCATGAGTTATAACACATTTGGCATCTTGTCAAAATAATTTTATTACTAAAACCTGCAAGAGTGTGGATTTTTTTTGGACAAATAACTGACTAGAAAACTCTTCTGGAAAGACAAGATACACAATTCTTCATAAATATTGTCAGCAGTTTACAGTAAAAGGAGGACATTTCACAAAAATACCAAGCAGTATCAACCACACAGAGATAGTTTTGACAATTAAAGTACTTTTAAAATATCTTAATGTTTTTACAAGAACGGACTCTACAGCTGTTTGAATGAAGTTTCAAAGTATAAATTCCTCTAGTCATGCTAAAAGAAAAGAGTTTTTCTCCTTAGCAATCCAAGTAAGTGCATGAACATTATTCAGGTATGTTTGTTTGCTTTATTCTAATATAAAAAGTGTTTCTCCCCAAACACGCAAAACTTGGTAACTTCTGTCATTAATGTACTGGGACTTTCACGACTGATCAACTTTGCTTGCTTCTCCTATTGTATTACTTCCCTTTTCCGTGCGACTGAGGAAATACTGAAATCTTGACCAAAAAAAAAAGGGGGGGGCCTTCTTTGGGATATGTTGACTGTGGCCCTATACACAATACAATTCTCTCTAGGGGATGAATTGTGCAATACTACTTCATTTTAATACAAGAAACAGGAAACACTTCCCATCCTTCCATGTTTAGTTTGTCATTCAGGGAAAAAAAGAAAAAGGCTTTAAAAGTTTTCTTTAATTTGCAAATGTCAGATCAAATTCCTATTATAAATAGGTGCAACTTAGTTGCCTTGATTTCCTTGACAACAATTTACAGATTTCTCTCTTCAATCTTATTGTCTGCTCTCCCTTTAGATTTAGCTCTCCAGTATCACAGAGATATGTTTTTAACTATAATTGACCAATATAGAGTAGGAATATAAAAACTAAATGGGTATTTTTTTTCTTATAAATCCTTGCTCGTTTTCCATTCTGTGCCACAGAAATCATTTTATCATATCCTCCATAATTAGGTAACAAATCAAACACTTTTAAATCTCTTCACTTTTCCTTACCTGGTATCCTAGTAAGTAAAATAATTGACTTCTAGTTTCTTAATGCCAAAGTATCCCTTCATGTTCCAATTTGTTGTCTTCTACCTCAGTCTAGTCATTCATTATCACTCTTGGGTGCTGGCAAATCTAGTCCAGATATGAGGTTTACTGGCGTGTTAAATGCTTTCATGAAGTACAGTTGCATGCTGTTCAAAAATCAGTGAAGTAATCTCCGTGGCATGTGATAGCACGAGCCCCATCAGCTACTGTTTATGGTTTGTGAAAATAATAAAATAAAAATGAAGAAGAAAAAAAAATAAATGTACTAAATATCAAATGCTAAACTGCCTGGTTTATCTCACAGTCAAATAATTGTTTCGTTTTATTACCTGTTCAGATATCCCTGAACAAATTCTTTTCACCAAGTGGACTGAACCTGGCTCCTTATTGCCAAGATCAAACTACAATGAGGTGGACAGAATCAAAACCTTTCCAAAATGATGAAACTAATCTTGGGTTAAAGGTCGAAACAAAAAAAAAAAACAACAAAACAACAAAAAAAAGGTTTTGGGCTTGGAAGGGATCTGAAAAGTCAAGAGAAATTTGGCAGATATGATTGCAGGAAACATGATTCTCTTTTTTAATAGCAGTACCTATTGAACCTTTTGAAAACTGTATCCCAACTACAAGGCAATGAGGCCCCCCTAACATCTTGATTTCTGCTTTGGAAGTGACAAAAACTAAAGTTAAATAGAAGTGTGGTTTGCTTTTATTTATCATCCTCCTCGTCATCTCATGGTTATTTATTATTGCCTCTAAGCCTACAAAGTGTGTTATCACTATTATTTGGGTTTTAGTGAATTGTTGATTTTTTTCTGGTTAACACCCACCGGCTATTAAAGTCACCTTCAGAGTAACCAGAAGATAATATGCTGGTCTACTGTTACGCATGAGACATTCCTTAAAAGCAATCTCGTGCTCAGTGACGCCAAGAGTGGAGCGCTCTAAGGAAATAGCAGCACTGCCCTTCCTAGGAGGCCGGTGAGCTGGCCTGGGAGCTGATCCTGTGCAGATGGCAGGAAGGAGCCCACGTTGGCCAGGGGCTCTCTGCAGGGCAGCAGCTCATGGGTGAACATCCAGCCCCCAGGAGTCTCCAGCTGCTTCAGGCAATATGTTTTGTGCGGCCTCCTGACTCCATTCTAAGCACAGCCGGTTTATTGCTTGTGGCCAGAACTGAGTCATTTGTGAACTTTTCCTTTTCAAAGAAAAAGTCTCTGTTTTGCTTCCTCTTCACAGTCTTTTCCATGATCCCAAACCCATCTTATCTCAGCAGGCCATGTGCTCTGTTGTGCCACAACATGCTAAGGGCTGACCTGGCAGTATTCATCAATAGATAATAAATCATAAAATACATGATTAACCATAAAATCAAACCACAAGATAAATCATAAATAGAAAAGGAAATGCACTCTGCTCCAGAATGAATAATAAAGCGGTGTGTTAACTGTTTATTGGATTTGTACCACCCCAGTCCGTAAGTGCCTCAGGAGCGAGGCCAGGTGCAAGCAGAGCGCGGGATCCCGGCTGCGGAGGCGGGAAAGGGCGGCAGCAGCAACAGCCCAGCTCGCTTGGAAGGGGCTCGCACCACCACGAGGCCGTGACCGCCACCTACCGGGCCGCAACACTCACGTCTCGCTCATCGCGCTTCCCCCATTCTACTACAACTGCTCCCAATTGTTCTAAGTATTTTCTTTTTCACACAAAAGCGAAGTAAGAAATACTCCCCAGAGCCCACGCGTAATTTAAACTCAAAAACCAGGACCTCACGCGCCGAGTGGGCGGGGGAAGGCTGTCCACAGGCAGCGCGGCTGCCGCGTCCCGAGTCGCCAGGACAGTCACTGCGACTTCCCACGAAACGATCTCTCTGGTGCTGCCTGCAGAGACACGCTCGTCGCGTTTTCCTCACACCTCTCCCACCGGGCCTGGTTTCACAGAGCCCCTGCCCGCCGCTCCGCTGCTCTCCATGACGCAGTCCCTGCTCCCGCCCCGAACCAGCAACCGCACCGGGGCCGGCACCGCGGCCGCTCAGCGACACCGCG